CGACCGAAATTTTATAGGTGGTGTACGATTATGTATTAGCTTTTGTTTCAGAGCTTTCCCGCACCCAGAAAAGCCTTGTGCGCGTTGACATAAAAGAAAAAAAAAAAATCGGTTCTTAAAAATCTGTATGAAGTTATTATTAAACTTCATATTCTGTTCCAGGAATGTGCTTATCATCTGCCTTTACAAAAATACCCATTGTCTGGGTTTTCATGTCAAAGACTGAATGCTTTCCATGTGAAATCAAAACCAATAAGATGTTTTTCCTCCTTACGTGTAGTCAACTTGGATCAAGAAGGCAAGAAAAAGGTGTCCAAAAGAGAAGGAAGTAAACTGACTGTATTGAGAGAGACTAAAACTATGTAGAAAATCGTAAAATCCTACTAAAACACAGAAGTGGTTTTTACTGAAAAATCAGTTGTATTCTAATACATTAAGAAACACCAGGAAATTGAAAATTTAAAATAACTTGCATAAGGATAAAAAATTCCAGGTTTTTTCCCATATCCTTTGTTTTGGAGAAAAGTGAGACAAACCTGGAAAAATAAAAATAAAAAACTATTGAGGGTATGGAGAACTGGCTCTGAGATTCTGCAGGTATCTTGAAACAATAGCTGAACTTTTATTTTTAGTTCTTGTTACATTAAATCAATAGGTCTATGATAAGAACCTATTTAGTAACTTGTGCTTCTTATGACCCTTAAAATAAGGTTCATTCATGTTGATTTAGGTGATGGTTCAGTAGTGTTTGTTTTAGATTTAAGTTTTATTTTATGTGTTTGGGTGTTTTGCCTACATGTATGAATGAGCAGCACATAGGTGTCTAGTGCCAGAGGAAGTTAAAGGAGGGTGTCAGATTGTCTGGAGCTGGAGGCACTCTGGGATGCTGGGAACCGGAACTCTGGTCCTCTTGAAGAGCAACAAGTGTGGTGATATTTATTTGTGCTGAAATGTGGTGATATTTTATGTGTATGTTAATAAATAAAGCATGCCTGGAGATCAAGGGGGAAGGGCCAGCCATTTTTAAGTAAACATAGAAGTCAGGCAGTGGTAGCACACGCCCTTAATCCGATCACATGGCAGGCAGGGTCTCTGTGTGTTCAAAGACACACTAAGTAACAGCCAAGCGTGGTGACACACGCCTTTAATCCCAGTACCAACCATAGAGACCTGGAGGTCTGTATAGACAGGCAGTGACGAGGAAGTGAGGTAGCTGAGCTAAGAGTCAATAAGAGGATAGAACAGCAAGGCAATAAAGGTGCAGGTAGACAGGAAGTAACTCACCTTTTGATAGCTGCAGAGCTGGAGAGGTAAGGTTGGTGGCTATCACTATTTCCCTGATCGCTAAGGTGTTCACCCTATATTTGGCTCTGTGTTTCTTATTTAATAAGACCGTTTAGAAATTCGGCTACAAACAAGTGCTCTTCATCTTTGAGCCAATTCTCCAGCAAGTCCATGTCTCCAAATTTTGAGCGGATGAGTTTAAGAAGTATTTAGTTTGCAGTTTATGGAGTGTTTGTCTTGAAAGGGAGGAAGATGGAGGCAGGGCTTTGTTGGGGACCATTAAGGGATGGCTACTTTCTCCCAGTACAGCATGGCTATTTTTATTTTAAAAATTACTTTCACTTATCTTGTTAAATATGTTATAATTTGAAGAAAAGAAAAAGATCTGACTTGTACTCATGAGTCTCTGGCCCTGGGTATAGACATGACATTCTGAATGCCAGTAAGATCACAACATTACATACGGAGGATTTCTGGAAAATAAAAGACATATAATTGTCCTCACGTGTAAGTGTTCATCCAAATTGGCAGGCTTGATGGCCCATGCCTGTAACCCCAGCACTTGGGAAGGATGGCAGAAAGACTAGGACCTCAAGGTTATCCTCAGCTCCATAGCCAGTTCAAGGTCAGTCTGGGCTACTTGAGACACAGTCTCAAAAACAAGCTAATCCAAGTTAGTCTGTCAATTACCTGAATAGAAAAAAAACGTTCTTCAGCAAAGTTGTCTATTTAGAGAGTTTAGAAAATAGTATTTACCTGACCTAAACATGGAGGTCAGCATAAGTAGTTTGTTTGACCATTGTCCACTCTCATTTCAGGAGTGTTTTTTCTTCTGTAGTGTCCCTGTATTATTGGCCACTCTCATACCTTGAGGGTGTAATGAACTCTCTTGTTTACACTATGCTCTGTGTCCTACTCACTCTCTGTTCTTTCCTTAACTTATAATCTACATCCATTCTTCTCACCCTTTGTTCATGTTTTATTTTTCTTGGGCATGAGACAATGAAATCAGATGCCAGTGTCTTGGGCTAGCTCAGGTGACCTTGATCCTCCTGTGTCCTAGCTCCCTGAGGTAAAGCTAAGAAAACCAAGGAAGGTTCTACTGTACTCCAAGAACCCACATCACAGGTATCTGCAGTCAAGCTTGATGGCATTAGACTTTAATCATAGGAGAGGCAGAGGCAGGCACAGGTAGATCTTTGTGAGTTCAGGGGTAGCCTGGTCTACAGAGTTCATTCCAGGCCAGCTAGGGTATATAGTGAGACTGTCTTAAAACAAATAAAAACAAATAACCAAAAGTACCTGGAAAGAATCCACACCTTACAGTGAGCCTACTAAAAGCTGGATTAAGTGATTAGAACTTCTGTGATTGTGGAGATTGAAATGGGACAGTCCACAACCTAGTTCGCCTTAGGTTATCTTTAAACTCCTTAAAAGATAGTTCTTGCCAACCTTTTTGTCTGACTGGAAAGTCTTGTGAATAGCTGGTGAAACATTTTTGAATGTATTTTTTTAAAGACATATTATTTTTAATTAGGTATATATGTGTGTCTCTCCGTGTGGGTATTTGCACAAGAGTGCAGGCCCATAGAGGCTAGGGAAGATGATGTTGGGTCTGCTGCAGTTGGAGTAACAGTAAGTTCTGTAATGTAGGTTCTGGGAATTAAACGTGGGTCCTCCAGAAGAGCAGTCCATGCCGTTAGCAGCTGAGCCATCTCTCCAGCACCTTTTGGAATGTATTAAGGTTTCAGACCACATGCTTCCTGTGGTGACATTTTGTTTGTACTCTGACAAATAAAATCGGCCTGAAGATCACAGGATAGAGCCAGCCACTAGATTAAACATAGATGCCAGGCAGTGGTGGCACACACCTTTAATCCTAGCACTTGGGAGGCAGAGATGTGAGTTTAAAGGCCACCCTGGACTACATGAGATTAATCCAGTTTAAAAGAGAAACAGAGCCAGGCAGTGGTGGCACACACCTTTAATCCCAGCACTTGGGATCTCAAGCGTTTGCTCCCAGTATTTGGGAAGCACACACGCCATTAATCCCAGCACTAGGGAGGTTGAGACAGGAAGTGATATGGCTGGGTGGAGAAAGGAATATAATGCGGGAGGAAACAGGAGCTCCGTCCTTTTGACTGAGGACTCAGGAGCGCTCAGTCTGAGGATTCCTGGATCCTCCTCTTTCGGCTGATGAGTTGGCAAGGTGAGAAGTGGCTGTGGCCTGTTTCCTCTGATCTTTCAGCATTTATCCCTATATCTGGCTCCGGGTTTTTTATTATAAGACCAATTAGGATTCATGCAACGGCTTCCAGCAGCTCGAACATTAAGAATGTCGTCATACAGCATCCTAGAGATTTCCAAGCTTTGCTGTTGCTTCCTGTTCTAGTACCATTTCTGCTGCTGTGAAAAGTACCCTGACCAAAGGCAAACCTTGAGGGAGAACAGGGTTATTTGACTTAAAATTCCAGCTCCTGGGCCATCACTGAGGAAAGCCAAGGCAGCAACTTGACAGTACATATGCTTTGGTCAGAATTAACTCTGACCAAGAGTTAACTTTACATCCCAGGAAATTCTAGGTTGAGGCAAGTTGACATTTAAAATTCACCAACACACCTGATTACTCGTGATTCCATCAATGTATTTGAAAAGTGTCTTATTGTCTTCTATTACTATAAAAACTTCCTGAAACTGTTAGCACATTGGACCATGGAACTGGAGGAACATGAATCTGTGTCCCTGGGCCATGGCACACACATTTTACTCCAGAATAAACTTATCTCCTTTGAGGTGAGAGTTGTTTTTGAGTCTACAATTACTAAAAGTATTATTATTATTATTATTATTATTATTATTATTATTATTATTATTATGAGACAGGGTCTTGTTATGTAGCTCATACTAGCCTCCAATTTGTGATCCTCCTGCCTCCCAAGTGTTAGGATTTTAGGTATGAATGACCATAAATGGCTAACAGAGCGCTCTCAAGCCTTGTAGTATAACCTTTACACACACACACACACACACACACACACACACACACACACACACACACACACACGAGTCACCTCTAGAAGCAGAACTACTAGCCTGCCAAAGACCATGACCTAGAGTGAGGACTACAGAATAAGCCGAACAATACAACTGATAGCTGGGTCTATGGTAATGGCAATTGAGTTGTGAACATTCCATCTTGGAGAGAGGAAGGTTAAAAGACCCATAGACCTTCCCCTCACATTAAAATCACTACTCCCTCCTGCCCAGCTGTGTGGAAGTAGGTAAGATGTTAAAACAAAACAAAACAAAACTGACTTAAGGTAGTACTTTTTTTTAAATTGAGAATGACATCTATTTTTATTTATTTATTGTGGCTGGTCCTGGGGCTCAAACTTAGGAAGGTTAGAGAACAACCTGGGAGAGTCCCAGGACTGAACTCAGGTCCAACAAGTGCTCTTACCACTGAGCCACATGCCGTGGCTGTTGCATGGGACTTTCGGTGGTACGAGCTGCCCCTGTACCAACCATCTCCTGTGAACAACTCCAAATAAACTCATTTATTTGTGAAGCTGGGCTTGGAATCTTTGGCCTGTTGGCTCCTTCCCTTTTGGGGTGAACAGACATTGATGTCTCTCAGAAAGTCCCGAGACAAGCCCATGACTGCTACCCTGCTCTTTGTGGATGAAGATCATGCAGAGCTAAGGTGGCCATCAGAAAGGCCACGCCCCCTCTTGCTTACAGTGTTCTTGGAAACTCCTTACTAGCAGAGAAACGTGACAGCATCAGCGTCAAATGTATTTGGGCCAGCAACTAGTAGGTAATAATTATTCTATTTAGTTATTAAAGATAAAATCAGTGACTTTTCTGTAGTATGAAAAGTATTGGCCACATAACTTTTTGGAGAAGTCTAACCAATGCTTTATGTCAACTCGGGCTATTCTTAGGAGAGGACAGTGGCATTGACATCCATTTTGGAGACGTTCCAGCCCATAATTCCAAACAGAATTACCAAAGTACCCTGTAACCCCACGGCTAGCTGTGCACACAAAAACAGACGTGGAAGAGCAGACTTAAAAATGTCTGTAGCCAACACTTGTTACTCTAGGTGCATTCTTTAGAGTCGCAGCAGGAAAAATTTTGCTGAGATGGACTAAAACTTACGTCGAATGTGGGGCAGGAAAGCTTGCTCAGGGGATAAAACACTTGCTGCACAGATGTAAGGACTGGAGGAGTCTAGGTCTCCAGGAACTCACATATTTACTAGGCCAGCATGGTCGTCCACCTGGAATTTCAGTCCTGGAAGGTGGAAACAGGAGAGCTAACAAGACTGGTCACCTCAGTGAATACTGTAAAAGGGGATCCATGATGACTCCTGACTTTGGACTTCCACACGTACCTATGTGCACATACGTGCATACAAATGTATATGTACATATTTACACACACAGTCATAAAAAGTGGACAAAAAAAGCAAAAAAAAAAAATACAAAAACCCCAAACCCCATATATGATATTTTTGGATCCATGTTCAGATGTCAACACGAACCAGACTACTATGAAAACTGACAATCTGTCATTTTTTGTTTTTTTGCTTTTGTTTTTGTTTTTTTTAAGACAGTGTCTCACTATACAGCCCTGGCTGGTCCTATGTAAAGCAGGCTAGCCTCTAATGCACAGAGATTCGAAGTGTTGAGATTGAAGGCATGTGCCAGCACATCCAGTATAAACTACCTTTTAAGACAAATTATAGTGGAGCTTTTTTACATACTCTTTTTACATTGTAACTTTGACTCTAAATAATATTAATCATAAATACTAGCTTGCTGGGTGGTGGTGGTGCCACGCCTTTAATCCTAGCACTCTGGAGGCAGAGCCAGGCAGATCTCTGAGAGTTCAAAACCAGCCTGGTCTACAGAGTGAGATCCAGGACAGGCACCAAAACTACACAGAGAAACCCTAGAAACATCAAAAACAAACAAACAAACAAACAAGCAAGCAGATAGATAGATAGATAGACAGATAGATAGACAGACAGACAAATAGATAGATACTAGCTGTATTGAGGGTTTATATCTCATCTATCGAATTAATAAAAGAAAAAAGCTATAAACCAGCAAGAATTCATATACATGAAAGTACACAATTTACATAAATTCTTTTATTCTGGATTTATAAATGTTGACAATTGAGTTAAAATTATACACAACAATGAAAGGTATTAATAGAATATATTTCCCTATATTGATTTTTTAAGACTACTGAAGTAACAATTAATGATCATTACTGCAGTAAAATGTATTGACAAGTCTTACACCTGGTATTAAAAAGTGTTTAAAGCACACTTAATAGAAAACAACAACAAAAAACATTTGTTCTAACAAAATTTATTATGCAGTAATTACAAAGATTAAAGACTTCCATCTCAAATAAAAATAATTGTTATAATTACACACAGAGTTTAGTACCCTCAGAGAATGATTACAATAAATATCACAGGAAAAACAGTGCATTTTCAAATTGGACAGACAAACACTTTCTCATTCACAGTGCTTTACACAGGAAGGCCTGTCCGCAGAATGACTCGGATATAGTCATGCTCCTGTAACAGTCCACCAGAGCTGTGCCAGCACAATTCATTCAAAATGTGAAGTACCGGGCAAACCACTCCTGGCGCTGGGGATCTGGAGAAGCCACCGGGGAAGCTTCACTCTGAGGAGGACTGAATTCATAAAAAGAGAGACACGTAACCCAGGATTAAACGGTTTGCAAAGTAACGGGAAAGCGATTAAACAGTAAGCATTGATTTCCACAACTGGCAACCCTCATCAGAACTGTAAGGACTGGCTATTCTTCTGCACCAGAGTGGGTCCTCTGAGAACAGGAGTCAGAGTGGCAGCTCAGATGAACTCAGTGACAGAGAAGCCACATCACAGTTATTACTCCATAGGGCCCGAAAGTAAGCAACTGGCAGAAACAATATTATTGTCTTGGAAGTTTTAAAAAGTGAGTATTTGTGGGAAAAGAGAGAGAACAAATAGTGTTCCCCCTTTGGGCAACTTCTCCCTTTGAATTACCATACTCCGACACAAGCATGGATTCTCACATTTGCATCCCTCACTAGAACTACGGTTGTAACTAAACCAACATATAGTTCTTTTTACTATTTGCACATTTACATTAAGCTTCCATCATCTGTAAGCAGATACGCTAAAGAGTGCATTAGAAAGCGGGCTTTCTTCTATTCTCCAAGTCGTATGTCTTAATTCTAACTCAGACTCTTTGGGCTACTTAAGAAAACAAAAGCATCCCTACCGTCTTTGGGGGAATTACAAGGCACGCAACAATGGGTAATGGAAGCTCCAGCGGTCAAGTTCCTTGAGCACATGCACATGCACCTTACTGATACCTGAGCGCACCCACGCGGGAAACAAGCAATACAGAGTGTTTAGACACGTTCAGAGACAGCTTCGACTAGAGTCATTCTTACTCGTTTCTTACTCTTTAAAAGCGCTAGTCATTGACTATGTTAGAAATCACTTAGCTTACAAGCAGAAATACTAACTCCACTTGTAAAATTTACTAGTGGAGTTATTAGGATTTGGTAAAAAGAAAAACAAAACTTGAATCAACAACAAGGAAAATAAGGTTGTATTAAAGTGAACACAAAACAGTATTTTTTAACATTTTAATCCTTTAATGGCTTAATTTCATTTCATTCAGAATTTACTTAATATATTTAATCAGCTCTGAGGCAACTTCAAACTAGAACAATTTTAAAACTGATTTGTTTCTAAATTTATTTGTATTTAACTATATCATTACATTCTCAGAGCTTATTTCTTTAATTTGGCAATATGCATATATATCTTAATAAGCATGGTAAAAGGAAATAAATATGTAAACTATAAGAAATGAAAATTTTAATAAATAAAAGTTAGCACTAATAAAACCTTGGTAAGCTTATAAATATTAAAATTCTGAGCACATGAATTATGTGAACACCTCTGTTAGGATTTAGAAAATTCACTAATGATAAATAAAAAAAAAATCTTTGGACAGTGTCAAAACAGAATTCTCTGGAGTGGCAAAAAGGAAAATTTCTCAAGTTAAAAATGTGAAGAAGAAGAAGGGAAAAAAAAAACCACTACTGGTGAGACGGGGCTCACCTCAAAAATGTCTTGGGCTCTTTGGGTGGTAGTGACTGTGGAAGTAGCTTGTTGCTGTTGAACTCAACCTCATGGATTGGAGAATTGGGAATGGGTTCCAAGCGGGTAGGGTGTCCATTGCCCACTCCACTGGATTCCAGAGCACTTAGATTGGGAACACTCACAAACCTGTTTGTTGGTGACTTATCATTCTTCTTCTTTTGCTGCATTAAAAATAACACACGTGAGAATACTCATTTGCTGCCGACGAACCAACAAGAAAACAGGAAAATAGTAGGAGACTATAAATTTGGCATTGAAAAATTTTGGAACCTTTGTGTCAAATTATCATGTTTCAATTAACCAGTGTTACCCAAAGTGTGGTCTGGGGATCCTTGAAAGTGTTCATCTACATGGAATCCTCCATGACAGACATGCTCCCAGGACAGAAACACAGGGCAAGGGACGCTTAGGTGTGGTTCACCTCTATTCCCTAACCACTGAGTGGACTGGGAAGAGAATAGGTTGGGGTGTGGGGTACAAGGAACAGGTGAGGTAGGAGAAGTTCCAAATACCACAGGGTAAGTGGGTTTACGCTAAAATTAGAAGGCATGAAGTTAAACACAATATTAAAAGAGAGGTCCATGAACTTTATCCATCTGTCAAAGAGAGGCTGTTCTTGCCTGGAAAAAAAAGGAATAAGAAAATTCTTGGCATAGTAGTTTGAAACAAATCTTACATTTTTTTACTGAAGACTTAAAACTGACTTAAATAATATGATTTAAATTCTCTGTGCCATTTTTCTGAAGAAAGAAAATTAAATCTGTATAATTAAATCTGCATTTAATTAATTAATTAACTTAATTAATGGGCAATATCACGAATTGGCTCACAATCTAATGGCTAAAGTCAAGAGTATTCAATTTTTAATGTCCAATCAGTACTTAAAATGACAGAAATAAGAGGAACACAAATGCAGCCTCAAAATTTATCAGCTTGCAAGTTTTTAACTTTAGTCTCAAAGAATTTGATCCCTAGTTCTAGAATTGATGAGCATCAACCTTTATGAAAAATAAATCTAGTATGTTATACTTGATTTAGAATATCCTCACATGTTTTTCAATTGGATGTATCCTGATTTTTTTCTTGCAAAATTAGCTTTAAGAAATGGAAATTTTATACATATATAAAAAGACGTTTAGACTTTTACTTTACTTAACATAATCCAGTCCCGTGGACGTTCAGCATGCCATGCCTGGTGACTGACAGAGCCTACGATAGAGTGTAACTCCAGCTGCATAGCACCATGTGCAAACACTGGGAAGCTACTCGGAGTCAACAGCAGCTGGGAAGGTCTCTCAACGCTCTATCTTTTGCCTTTTCTTACTCTAATCTGGAGATATCTTAACATTTGAAAGATTTCAGGTGTTTTTTTGTTTTTTCTCTTTTTCTTTAGGAAATCATACAGTTGATAGCCAGGTGTGGTGGCCATGCCTTTAATACTGGCACTCTGAGTTCAAGGCCAATCTGGTCTACACAGTGAGATCAGACAGGGCTATATAGTATGACCATGTCTAAAAAACATAAACCAAAACAAAAAAATAAACTTCTGGTAAAATTCTAAAGTAGTAGTGGTTCTAAAGCTAAAAAGATCAATTCTGATAAAAACAAATGCATAAAATTCTCTAGTATGCTTTGTTTACATAAACCTTAAAATGTTTTCTACTTAAAAGCTATGTTATCCCAAATCATTAATTTTAAAAATGAAATTAAAGCCAGGTAGATGTCACACAGCTATAATCCAAGCAATTAGGAGGTAGAGGAAGGAGGATCAGCAGTTCAAGGTCTGCCTTGGCTATAATGTTTCAGGACTGGCCTTGGCTACAGGGTGAGTTTAAGGCCAGCCTTGGCTACAGGGTGAGTTCAAAGCCAGCCTTGGCTACAGGGTGAGTTTAAGGCCAGCCTCCAATATAAAGTGAGTTTAAGGGCAACCTAGGCCACATGAGACTGTTTCAAAAATCAAACCAAAACAAAAACTGAGCATAAAATGTATTCTGTTCACTCATTCAATTATTTACTGAGAGCTTTCTATGTGAAGTTCTAAAGACAGCTATCATTTTTAGTTTGCAAAACACTGAAGTTCAAAGTTTGGAACACTCCTGAAGAAAGAGTAAATTTGGTATTCTAAACAGAGAAATTGTATGAGCTTCGAAAATAACATTTCTGGGTAAGGGTCTAGCAGAAATCAGCACAATGTGAAGCAATAAAATATGGATTAAAAACCAGCTTTAATGTAAGCTTTATTTTATTATTGATTTCTCCTAACAGATTCACAATCCACGTGAAATCAGCATATGCAATTATTTATTCATTACTTGCTTTATTTTGTAGAATAATTTGTGTTGGCTTTAACAAAGTGTGATAAGTTTTTGCAGTCTGACACATTTACTGAATACCCGCTGTGTCCAAACACTAGGGCTGTGAGGGGAGGGGAGCAAATGATGTATAAGTTAGCCAGATCTAATTCAAGGTTCTTCCATTTGCTCTAAGAGAATAATACAGAACCAGAAAAGTTATACTTAAATTGTCAAGAACCGTCAAAGACTGAAAAGTGGGTTCACAAGTTCAGCTGTAGTTCCCTTATGACAGAAGGCCTGGAGCTAGGAAGAACTGTGTGGCATTTGGGGCTGGAGTCTTTCTCAACTCCACAGAGGATTGTGATCAATAAGGAAATGACAATAAATTAATTTGTGTCAGAAGTTTGCTTTTCTTTAGAAATATGAAAAAACAAAGATAGAGCCAAAGTGCTTGGATACTAATAAAGTATTTTAAGGAGTATAAATTACCAATAAATGAGTAGTTCATTCTGAAAATGAACAAATAAAGAACTAATAAACTTTAATAGGAGGTTATTAGACTTAAGAAACCATTTTGGAAGCTTTACCCTTACGCTGCTTGCTTCACATAACTTAACCCATTTCCCTCTAGGTCTTAAGTACATCCCTACTTTACAGTGTCTATGGCACATACCTTAGCCAATGGGTTAATAACACCAACAGTAGGACTTGTGTTAAATATTTTGTTGAAGTTAGTTTCTCGATTGACTAATTCCAGTTGATAAAATTTATTATCCTCCTATGCAAAAGAATTATAAACAGCCTTTCAACATTTTCTAGTATAGATTTACAAACTTAAACTGTATGACTGCCATTTCATTAAAAATTTAATAAACTATGAAGGGTTATATATTTTGTTTAAACATGTCTAGGCTTGATTGCCAGTGTCTTCAAGATTGCTAGCAGGTCAGCTTTTAGCACCTTTTAAAACCTAGGCCTAGGGATTTAACCATACAGTTTAACACCCTTTCATTCAAGACAGGATCTACTAAGGTCCCATATCTCTTTGTGGTACTGACTGTGGCATCTGAGTGGGTCTAACTTGTACTTGAGGTGTGTACACACAGCTGTCCTGACAGGAATTAAGGTAATACTGAAGAGACACCTACCAGAGCATAGTAACAATGGTCCCCAACAAATTGCAGTTTCCCCACGAATCTCATGCTCAGAGGTAAAAAGGGCAGAGATGCCAGGCAGAGGGAGAACTTGTCCCCAAACAGGACTTCAAACAGTTCTGACAGGTTGTCAGATCACCTTGTTGGAGAGACTGGAGCCAAGACAATGGTGATGGACAAGACCACATCTGGGCCAGGACTATTAAGTTATGCATACCTCTTGTCCGGCATTCAAACCTCAGTCTCATGTCAAGACCCCAAAGATGGACACTGGGGTTCAGGGAAGAGGGTCGTGAGACTTGTTTTTACCTCTTCTCATGTGGCCTCATGTAATACATTTCCTTTTTCTGCTTTTCACTGTTTTCTGTTTAATTGGCCTATTGAGAATGGGTGGCCAAGCCTCCTGTGTTCGGGCTGCCAGGGCTGGATGCTGACCCTAAGAATTTCTGTTACACCATACATGGCTGAGTGGTTTCCATCTATAAAGATGATACTACCCTATGTATTCTTCAACATCTGAAAATGGATTTGATCTCATCCAGTCCTTGACATGGTAATGTAGTATAGCAGTGGTAATAGAAAAGTGAGTGGCCTCTACAGAGATGACTCTTTCATTCTGGAGTCATGAGGACGATGTGTTAATACAGCTGACAGAGCGGCAGGGTGAGAATGTGGGCTGTGTTCAAACTCGCCTTGGTTCTAGTGTGGTCCAGCACCACTAGACCCTTCATGGCCATCTTAGTCACCACTCACCATCACTTACATTACAGATCTTAGCCCACATGCTTTGAGGTTCAGGGCATGGCTGTGTTGTAGAAACACAGTGGAACCGCCCTTGGTTACAATCCTGGATCTGCCCTCTGGTGAGGCTAAATACAATTTATCTGTAACATTTCAAGTAATAACTGGAAAAATAAATAGCCACTTTGGGGGCCACAGGTGAATAGTACACTTTCTACGCTTGCCCACTTCATAGATGAGCAGCAGTTGTTCATGAGTCTGCTCTCGTTGGCTAGAACTACGCTGCTATGTACCACACTTGGAAAACTGGGTGCTTGGCAGGCTGCAGCCCCAGGAAACACTCTCTTCACAGCCTACTCTTGGGCTCCCTCTATGGACCCTAATCATTCCTGCGGGTTAAAAAAGGAACTTCCCAGTTTTGAAAACAGATGGAGTTTTCTAACTTATAAAGTAATTTTTAAAGGATGTCAGAATATTGGTCTTGTGCTGTTACATGCTAGTATTCAGAGTGTATAATTAAAGCAATCAAGGAACATATAGATGATTAGTGTTGTTTCCACTTTTACTGTGAAAGACTTTCATCTATTAGTGGCAATAAACAGCAACATTTTAATTAATGACCAGGATAGAGCATTTTAGAAAATTCTGAAATATTTTATAAACTTTCAAACATCTGTATATTTTTTATTCCCAAGTAATAATGGTCTTAATGAAGACAGTATATTTAATGTTAAAAATCTTATATTTTCTCAAATGGACTTCTGAATGCCCTTCACACTGAGCATCCTGAGCACAGTTCTTCCTAGGCTAGACTGTGAAACTTTTCTTTTTGTTTATTCAGTTTTGGTTTTTTTTGAGACAGGTTCTTGAGTATACCAAGATACTCATAAATTTGATGTGGTGCTCAGGTTGGCGTCAAACTTAAGATCCTCCTACCCCAGTCTCCTGAGTACTTAGATGGCTTAGTAGCTCTCCTGTTTGGTGGAATACACTTTAGGAAATCAACATGCCTGTAACTCCACAACTTCAGATACTGAGGCAGGAGGATTGCTGTGAGTTTTAAGGGTTCCATAGCATAACTCTATCTCAAAATAAATAAATAAATAAATAAATAAATAAATAAATAAATAAATAAACAACAACATAAAAAGAGACTGATCTGTAAGTTGACAATGCAAATTAATGCATGGCTTTCTTAACAGATTTTTCTTAGTTCTAATTCTATATGTACAATATGCATCTCTCTATATAGGATGTTAACTAATAAGTGATAATGAGATTATTAAACATTTAATATATATAAAACTATATATTTCAATAAAAACATTAAAGAAAAGCATAAAATTACCTTATTCCAATGCTCAATTTAAATTTGAAATTACATTTTAATAAACTTGATCACAATGCACAGATTTTACATTTTTCATTTAGCATTATTCAAAAATATTTCCCCATGCCTTCCCAACCAACAGTCTATTGATTGCTAACATGGTTATACTAAAAACAAAATATCTTACAATTAGTTTCTTTATGACCTGGTCTCTTTCTGAAAGCAAGGATTTTAATTCTGCAATCATCTGTATATCTTCTGGCTTCGATTCTCTCATTAGGTACTTTTCTTCCATTTCTTCTAGTCTATAAACGAGAAAACCTTTATCTCACTGATAGAACTCAGACACATCCTGTTCTAATAAACACCTACATTTTTCAATTAGTCCAGTTAAATATACAAAAATCCAACATAATACTTGCAAGCATAACATGATTGCCTCAAGAGCTACAGTTGTTAAAGCCTTTGCAGGAATAAAAGACATTAAGGGCTCCACGGGTTACTTTTGGAAGGACTTATCCACTTTAAGTCATATGTAAATGAGGTGAGGTAGGCTCTGTGAAGGAGCTGAGAAGCTGAATGACACAAACTTCACAAACTCAGGGCAGTGACTCTTGGGAGTGATTACCATCTATACAATACTGTGTGAGGAGGCTTGTAACATATATATACAAGGCACAAGAAAAGAGACAACGGGAACAGAAGACACACGTGAACGGCATCCGCTTGGTGTGGTTTGTGGGGAATGCAGCTTTAAAGCTCTCCATTATCATCGGGGAAGAGAAGAATTACATTTCCTTGAAGGCCCTACCCTTTCCTGAATGGTACGAGACTGTTAACAGGAGTGAATGCCACCGAAGACTAAAACAGAGGCCGTTCTGTTCGAGTAGAGGTGGCATGAACCATGCAGAGTCCAAGGGTGAAGGCAGGGCCGACAAAAAAAGAGTGCGACCTGCTGACTTAGTTTGGGGGGGGGGGGAGAACCGTTTCAGAAATTATAAATAACTGGATCAATTAATTTTTATTATTTTCTGAATAGACAGGGTAGAATGAAAACTTACTAAGCTGTGGTTAATGAGGAGTCTTGAAAAAATTTACTTAGCAAGCACTGAGAAACTTCTAGATGACCTATCATGTAGATACCAGTGATCTGTCGCTGTCCCATCAGGCCAATCCTACAGAGTAGACAACCTCTGAATTGTACTGCCATAAAAGCTAGTCTGACTCAAACAAATGATTTGGAGAAAAAGCATCTGGCTTCCCACCCTGCCCCTGGCTCCTGCTCTGCAGGGTTAATAGGGAAGTAAGGAGCTGGACAGTGACTGTTCCTGACTCTCCTGGGACTTGGCTGAGACAGAGTGGCAGTCAGTCACACAGCACAGTTCAGTACCTTTTCCCCTTCTCAAAATAAATGAGATCCTTTGAGGTCACAGCATCGTCTTGCATTTTGATTACAATATGAGAGGAATTACCTGTCTACATTTTATGAGCCAAGTGTTTCAGTTTTCTTTTCTTCTATTTTATTTTTTTTAATTTAAGTTATTATTATTATTATTATTATTATTATTATTATTATTATTTGCTTTTCAGTTTTTTATACAGGTTCATAAATACTATCTATTCAAGAAAAAAAAAAGGTATTTGGGGTGTGTGCGGGAGCAGCCACAAGATGTCACTGGAGTACTGCCTTTGTGGTTGGAAGCAAAGCCTATGTGGAGCCACTTCCCAGAGCTCGGAGAAGAGCTGAGAAAAAAGGAGCTAAGCCTCCTGCCCGGTGCCATTTCTGTTGAATGAGAAGAAGTAAAGTGAATCTAAAACAACCCTTTACAGTTTTGAACTTCTTCTTGTTGTAAAGACCTCCTTTGTTCAAGTGTGGGTTTTAATTTAGCTGAAATATCCTGTTGTTGTTGTTATTATTATTTTTAGAAAAGGTCTTACTATGTTGCCCTGGCTTGCCTGGAACCCATTATGTAGACCAGGCTGGTCTCTAACTCTCAGAGATTCACCTGTCTCTCCCTCCCAAGTGCTGGGATTAAAAGTGTACACCACCACACCTAGTTTAGCTGACATTTTAAACTACACAATTACTATCAGCTCATTCTACCCACAGCAACATATCTTTACATCAGCAAAAATTTTAATAAAAAACTAGATAATAAGACAAAGGATTGACAGGAAACAGTCTATAAATGCAAACAGAAAAGCATTAAAGGAGAAGACAAGAAACTATTATGAACCAGTTGTAACTTATAGATATACAAAAAATCCTATCCAGCATTCTAATGGGAAGGAACTTAGCATCATTCCAATATCCACTTCAAGGCCACACTAGCCAAGGTTTTCCCTTTCCACAGCCATCTGGGCTAGACTAGACTAACAGTGCACCTAAAAGGCCAAGTGCAAAGGATGACTAAGAATAAGGAGATTTAAGGGGAGAGGGGGTTCTAAGTTTGATTTTTTTAAGTCTCTTTTGCTTTTTTTTTTTTTTCATCCTTTCTTTCTTTGACATAGGACCTCAGTTTAAATCTTGGATTTGAGGTAAACTCAGAGATGCCTCTACTTTGGCCTCCCAAGTGCAAGGATTACAGACATGTACTATTATACCAGCCGAGCTCTAACCCTTATCATCACAAGGAGTCTGTTTGGTCCCAGAGTTCTTAAGTGGCCTTTATGGAATATGCTTCTGACCCTAATTCATAAAAGTCAGGTCTCTGAACATGAATATAGTAGGTAGAATCCCTTTTTATTTTCAGTGAGTTTTCAGATTACCGTTAAAAGTAATACAAAGACTGAATACAGAAAGGAGAATCCGAGCACATGGAAATACTAACCAGAGTCACTGCTAGTCTCTAGCTAAGCGTATTTCTTGGTGTATGTGTCTCAGAGTGTAGAGGTCATTTTTCCACAGCTCATGAACAACACAGTCCTGTATTAAACTGGACAAAGACATCTTCCAAGTTATCGTCCACCTCATGTTGCTTTCTAAGACCCAACTGACAAGGAAATCAGTGACTAGAGACTGTTGAGCTGAACAACAGCATTACCAGGAACACACGAAGCCCAGAAATTCCATTTTATGAATTCTGTTATCAATAAATGAAACAGGAGACTGGAGCACTTCACTGTTGGACTTTTCCCATAATTGCCAAGCAGACTTTTATCTGTGTTAACAAGACCACTACAACTCCCAGCCATCCTCAAAGCTTATAAAACAGCATGAGTGGGAAATTAAAGAACCAAACAGCTAGAAAATCATTGGAGTCTTAGAGATTAAGGACTCAAAAATAAGAAATTCTGACATGGCAGAGTTAGAAATGACTGGCCTGCCTAACGTCTGTGTACAGAATTGACAGTTCTCTCATAAAGAAATGATCTTTTTGTTCCAGTACAGTGAGGTGCTAATTTAAAGTAAACCTAAACAATTAAAAACAATCTCTGGCCAGATGTGATAGTCCACATCTGTATAATCCCAACCCTTGGGAGGTAGGGACAGGGAAAGCAAGAGTTCAAGGCCATTCAAGGACGACATGAAATCCTGTTTCAGAGAACAAACCAACTAACAACAAACACAAAAGCTAAAACGACCAACCCTAACCACTATTTATATAGCAAACATTTCTGGACTCCAAGGTACTGGGGCAGTTTTTAAAGTAGCTTAAACTTTCTTTACCCATGCAACACGTCAATTAGGTAAAATTGAGTAGCCTAGCCTCTCCTTTGCTATTATGTTTTTTTTCTCCCTTTGTGGGTGTTGGGAATTAAAACAATGTCTTGTGCATGCTAAGCAAACATTCTACCACTGAGCTATGTCCTAGCTCCTTCTTTAAAAAAAAAAGAAAGAAACTCAATACATTTTAAAATTAGATTCAAGGTTCTTGTTAGGATAATAGTCAAGACAATCAAATCTCCATGAAACTCTAAGTGGGTCTGAATACTTTAGCACAGTTTCTAAAAGTCATTTCAAAGATAGAGATTCCTGCACTGCTTCTACACCCCATTTATCTCAGGAGTTCAGTATTTTGTTATTTGTATTTGCAGAAGAAGCAAGAAGAGAAGCTTCCAGCTGCTCCAGTGCTTCCTCAGCACCATACTTTGGGCTGCCGACTGAAGTATGGACCTTTACAGCCCCCCTCTCATCCCTCTGATAATTCACCAGGATTTCCTGAATCTGAAGATTCAGAGCTGAGGTTCAGGTGTTCATAACACTATAGGGTAACCCTTGCAATAGGATGTGAACAGTTCACATGAACCCATCCCCCATCTGTAAACTGTCTAAATCTTAACCACTCAGCAGATCTACAGTCTTCATGTAAGGAAGTGGCCAGAAACATCCAGTACTACTTTCCAATACGCTAGCTTCTAGTCCACGAGCTGTTATTTGTATTTAAATTAATTATGGTGAATTAGAGTTGAAGTTCTCAGTCACACTGGTTACAGTTCAAGTGTTCCATAACCATTCATGGCTAACAGCTACTAGACTGGGAAGAGTCAATACAGAACATTTTTGTTATCACGGAAAAGTCTGTGGGACAGTGTAAGTCAAAAATAAGTGTACATGATTTGACTTTAATTAAACAAATGATTACCTAAAGCTAAAGGATAGTTACATGGTGATAGCAGGTAAAAAGAGAAAAGTGGTTGGCTAGTGTGGACCCAAGGCAAAGTATAAAAAGAATGCTTCTTCTAAAAAAGAAATTTTACTTATCAGTAACACTAATTCTTCAATTATCAAAAGGTCAAAATATAGAGACATTAAGTTAATGTTTGCTATCTATTAAAATTTCATAAGGAGCAAAACCACAGAAAAGAATGACGTCAAAACAGACACAACCTTTCCTTTTTGTGAATTACTATTTCTAAGGAGATGTCAGGACACACAGACAAACACAGGCTGTTCTTGGTGTGAGTGTGCTGTTTCAGAATGTGAAGAGGGGCACCAGGGTATCAGTGTCTGCCCAGTATACACAAAGGCCAGGAAAAGTCAGAGCCAAGCCACTGAGGCTGATTTTATCCGATTTCTACCAAACATGTTATATGTATGCTCTGCTGCATTGCAGACATGTGAGGTCATAGTGGCTGAAGAGAAACTTAAAAATTGACTGTAATAAGGACAAACAACAAATCACTGAGTTTGTGGAAACAGTGAGTTTCTTCTCCATTTTATGGATAATTTCACGAAGTGGGAACTCTCATGAAATTTATTCATGATAGATTCATATATGAACACTATGTGAAGAGGGCAAATGAAGGTATCTGAAAGAGTGCTTCATCTCAGTGGACACTCCAGTAAAACCAGCAGCTGGGGGCCTGTTTCTGCTTGAGTGTGTCTATGTGTGTCTGTACCTACGCCTGGAGTATTTGCTGAGACTGAGTGGTTATGTTGATAGAATATGTGAAGATGGCATCTATATTCGAGATAGGTAACTAGGTATTAATAATCCAAATGCAGAAGGTGGCCCAATAAAGCCAAGAATCTGACCCTGTGAGTAGTTAGTGGTGACTTAACTCTTACTTTATTGAAGTAGCTGGATAATTGGAAAAAGAAGGACAGTCAGTGACTCAGCCATTAGCAGCAGCTTAGAGTAGGTTAAACCTAAGATAACCTAAAGTGACCAGGGGTTAGGTCAGGGAGACAGACTGAATTCAAAGTGGGTTTTCTGCAGCAGTTTGTAAGGATCCTGGAAAGACAGGGGCTATTAATCTTAATGAACATTAGGAAAGATGTACAGATTTTGACTTGAATAATGGGCTTACTAAATTTGAGTAATAACTTTATTTGTAATGATTTTACTTTAAGATTTCTTAAATTAAGGAAAAACCACTTAAATGCTAATTGTAATAGTACCTGAGTATAGGAAATGAAGTCTCTGCCCCTTTCTTTCCCTGGGACCTACCAATGTACTGGCTAAATGGAACCACATTGTTAAAAGTCTATGTTTGCTTTGAAGGGCATTTGATTTTTTGTAAAATATGTATGGTTAACTTATGCACGGCTTTATAAAATTTCTATTGTTCACAATGTACTAAAACGTCACATTATATAGTGAATACACTTTGAGACGTCACCACAGAAGTGATGTGCCATGGCAGCCACTCTTAAGATATGTAGTACTTTAGCAGACCTGTGGCAACAGCAGCAAATGAAACAAAATCATTCAATGGCCTTATCCTAATTAAAGAACATACATAACGTATTACATCTGTAATATAGTACTTAGGTCTTCCTCAATAAGTATCATTTTTTTTCTTAGATTCAAACAGTTAGGCTGAGTTTAGACACAATGCTCCTCAGTTTATTATCCACACACGAACTTTCTTTAATGCAATATAACTTACGACACTTGTAAAGCTGCATTTATTTCCTTGAGTAGCTCATTAGTCTTATTAAAATCTGCCCGCATGATATTTTTCTCTCTGAGGTGATCTGCTGTCATGACATCCAGCTCTTTCTCAAGTCTCTTGTTTAAATCTTGTTCATGCAACCTGTTTAATTTATTTGTAGTTAAGAAAATGTTATTCTGAAGTCAAGTGTTCAAAACTTCTATGTTCTACCAGATTTGAAATGCCCCCTTTTTGGTATAATATTTGGAAAAGTAATGTACACAGGTTAAGTTAAGCTATGTAGTTTGTTATAACCGTCTGTTAAATTTTGTCTCCTTTAATGCTTTTTCTAATAAAAATTAAAAAAAAATTTTAATCATGGTCATTTCCCAAAGTTAATGAATAATAAATACATCATCAAAATGCAGACATTACATTTTCTAGATGATATCATACCCACCACATATAGTCAAAAGTGGCCTTCAGTGTATTATTGGGAGAGTACTCTAGTCACAAAACTAGGAACATATTGCTAAGCATGTCTCCTACAGTATTTCAGTCCAATGCATGTTCTGCTCTAGTTACTGCATACCTCATCTGCTGGTTGGATTCACTTCGTATTCTGAGGATTTCCTTCCCCTTAAATTCCAGTTCCTTCGTTAGGGTACTTAGGTTTTCCTGGAGGTGCTGGACCTCCTTGTCTAAGTCTGAGATGTGGTGCTCTCGGTGCCGTAGCTCCTCTTGGAGGTCACTTATTCTACACATGTGCTCCTTACTCTGCGAAAACCAAAGAATGCTGTAATGTTTTCTACAGATTTGTTTTCTGGGTTGATGTGAGGGAGAGAAAATGACAATTTTTGAATAGTAAGTATAATCAATCATTCTGACAAGGCTTCAAAATAAACTGCCCAAAATGAGAAAACCTTACGGCCCTTTCCCTTCCACATGGCTAAGAAGAATTGCATGGATACAGTTGCTCTATCAGGGCTGTAAGGGACTAAAAGATGATGAAATCACCGCTCACTCATTTTAGAACGAGGAAACCATTACTTACGAGCTGATTGTTTGTAAAGATAATTTATGATCAACAGCAGAGTCAGGAGGAGAACACGGGTCTTTGAATAAGTTGTACAGATCTTATGGTAAACTGCTGGTAACACTGTCCTTTACTCTCAAAGTGTTTTCTTCTAGGGAGCTCACTACCCAACACACACAATCCATCCCTTAGAAAGGCAGACTTTGCTTGTTTTCACTGCTGTCCTAACAGTTATCTGTCTAGAAAGAATTTCCCTACAAGTCAATGTTTTCTACAAGTTCTCTAAAGTAGACTTTGTCAACTTTCCTGTAGGCATAGCTGAAGAGTAACTTCCCTCTATGGTTGCAAGGTGGCTCATTTAAAATATCATGAAGAGCAAATCCAGGCTGACCACTTAACATGGTTAACCAACAAAGTAAAACTTGCAAGTGTAATAAGCTAACAGCTTTCTCTGCAGTGCCCACTGCCACATCCTTCCATACATATGTATCATCACAATCACAGATTATCAAATTTTAAAAAAAAGTATACTGGGCCAAAGAGCAAAGTCTAAAAAGTGTAAGCAAGCAGTAATGGCTAATTAATACTTTGGGAATATGAATTATCCTTCTTCTTTTTGAAGGATCTACTCCTTCTATACAGTTGTGTCATACAATGTGACTGTTTAAGTTAAATTCAAATGCATACGATTGAAAATGTCATTTCTTGGTTGTACTAGACAAACCTGGGCTGTATGGCTACCAACTACCACAATGGTTTTCCCAAGACACAGAATGGTATGTTGTCATGGCTAGTTCTATGGAATAGAGTTGTTCTTACACTTTATATTTTTTTCATATTTTATTGTTTATTTTCCTAAGATGCAAACAAAATGCAAAATATCTAGTCAAAAGGTCATAAATTAAATGTAATTGTATAACTGTAATAAATAAATAATTGGCTGGGCGGTGGTGGTGCACGCCTTTAATCCCAGCACTTGGGAGGCAGAGTCAGGCGGATCTCTGTGAGTTCGAGGCCAGCCTGGGCTACAAAGCAAGATCCAGGACAGGCACAAAATACTACAGAGAAACCCTGTCTTGAATAAAAAAACCAAAATAAATAAATAAATAAATAGATAGATAGATAAAAATAAAAAATAAAAACACACTTAAATAATTGTAATTATAATGTATAAGGTTGTAAAAAAGCACTCTTCATCACACTGATAATAACTAGTACGGTTAACAGTTATTACAAGCCCCTCTCCTGGCATGAGGGTTCCGCGGTCCCAGATGGAAGGAATCGGCATGGCGTGTTCACGCTTACCTGCCTTCGGCTGATGTCGACGCTTCGCTCTAGTTCCATTTTCGCGGCTGCCAGTTCTTGATGGTGACTGTGCCGTAATAAATCAATTGAGGCTGCGTGCTGATGGTTGAGTTCGGACCGCAAGGAAGCTGGCATGCAAAGACAAAGGGTGAGACAACTTCAGAACACGGCTAAGACCTCAGGGAAAGAAGCTGTAAGCGATCCAGAATGCAACTTTTACAATGAGGACACTCGTATATGTGCATTAACTAGACGATCACACGTGGATTTGAAGTCTACTTAGCTTTGATGAGGGTAAAAAAATGTCAAGAACTTAAATGACAAAGGTTGTGTGTGTGTGTGTGTGTGTGTGTGTGTGAATTCAGTTTGACGATAAAGTGGTAGTGGAGATGAAATGCTTCAGCTGTTTTATATTATTAAGATTATATGGATTTTCGAGTTGTACCTTGACAAATGGTTAAAAGGCAATTTTCCTCCCAGTAGGAATTATATTACAATATCCCTAGAATATACAAAGTACTTGCTGATAAACACTCTTAATGATCTGGAGGTCAGTCAGTCATCACATTCATTAGAGTTTGAAATTGATTTTCAATTTTAATTTTTTTTTTTTGAGACAGGGTCTCATGTAGCCAAGGCTGGTTTAGAACTCACTATGCAACTGGAGCCTTGAAATCTTGATTCTCCTTCGTTTATCTACCATGTACTGGGACTACAGGCATGCGATATGCCTGGCCCTGGAATTAATTATTTCATACAGTGCACAACATATATTGAATGACACCAGTATCCTAAGAGAAAATAAAATCTGACACTGTCTTTATAACTTCACAAGCCAGAGGTGAAGACATTACTCCAGGGAATTAACTGGCATATCAGAAGGTTGATACGAAGTGTAATGAAAAGTCAGTGGCGAAAAGTACCCAACTTTCTGAGAGTCAGATTGGGCATCAATCGGACAGAGACCGTTACAGTGACCGGGTCTGCGGTACAGCAGGACTGAATTGGGGCTCCTGAGGAGAGAAGCAGGCGCTCACATCACGAAGGCAGAACAGACGAAAGAAGCCAGAGTCTGGGCTGTCCACCACGCTGTGAAGTCTGTGTGGCAGGAGGTCACAGGGTACACGGTGGCACGAAAGGAAATGGAACCCGTGTTGATTTTACTTTAAACTCCCGGGCCCCTGGTCCTCAAACTGAACTGTGGGTGGCTGCGCTTCTCACAGAACTCAGAGCTCACCCATGGTACTTCCTGAAGCATGAATGCTACTCGAACATTTTTAAGTGTTAATATGGAGGTATGTGTGAGCAAAATGCAAATTGTGGATTTAAAGCTATAACACGAGAGCTAGATGAAGAGATGCCGCGCTTGCTTGGAGCTGGCTGACTTAAGCTCCTCTTGAGGCCTCCCTGGAGAACTTCAGTTCAGTTTCTCCTGGTGCTAAGGGCTTCTTCGGTAGAAAAACTTGCCAACCCTGTCCTGAAGAACCATGGGAGGATTTAAAGTGGGGAGTCTTGGGTGAGGTGTAAGCATCTCAAAGTTTTCTCTGCCAGAAAACTAGAAAATGAACTGTGAGAAGGCAAGTCAGGAGGAAGGTTATGACGACGACGATTTATTTTAAAGAGTGATATAAGGGGCTGGAGAGATGGCTCAGCAGTGACGAGAACTTGTTCTTCAGAGGAGCCAGGCTTGACTCCCAGCACCCCCACGGCTGCTCACAATTGTCTGGGACTCCGGTTCCAGGGGCTCCAATATCCTCTTCTGACCTCTGAAGGCACCAGGCACGTATGTGCTGCACAGATATACACACACAAGCAACACACTCACGCGCACACATACAGTAGAATAAATGAAATCTAAAAAGAAAGAGAAGTCACCTGGCCTTGAGGTAAGTGTGGCAGGAGGAGTAAATGAGAGGAAACACACAGTAAAAGGATTTAAGAAGTGGCTGAGAAAATGTAGTGAAAGAGAAATAACATGGCTCCTCCCACTTTCCCAGTTTTGACAACTGAATAGTGATAGCATTAGCCAGGGTGAGAAGTGCAGGGATAGATAAGTACATTGGACCTCACAGAAAGGATAAGATCGAAAAAACCAAAAAAAAAAAAAAAAAAAGAAATGATAAGATCATATTTCAAAGTCTATTTAAAAATCTTCTTAACATGTAGCAATAAATACCAATTTAATGTACACAAACAAGAGGTTTGATGTGGAAACACCCATCTGAAGTCCCCAGCACAGGGGTGATAGCTGAAGCCATAGAAGTAGATAAAAAAAAAGAAGAGGCTAAAGACACACACACACACACACACACACACACACACACACACACACACACACACAAAGGAAGAACTGAATTACAAGAGAAAAGCAGTATTTAGTATTACATGTGGAAACAAGTCTGGCAAATGAGAGTAAAGGGTACAGATCAGAAAATCAGTACAGTGAGAATATGTATTAACATAGAAACCAAGAGAAGAAAGACCCAAGAAGGCCAAAGTGGCCAGATGTGCGCACAGAGAAAATAAGATGAGAACCCGTCAGGGATGATAGCCCAAAAGCCGGTGGTGACCTCAGGGAGAGTGTGTTCATGGGAGTGATAGAGTAAACAGACCTGAAGGATCCTGACGAAGGACTAGTATCTAGAATATGTAAGTAGAATACTTAAAACTCAACAGTAACAATGAAGAATCCAACCAAAAAGGAAGACATGAAGTTGATGAGAACATGAAAAATATTCAACATCTCTAGCCACTATGGAAATGTAAAGTAAAATCATAATGAGACATTATGACACACAGTCACAATATCAAAGATTGGTGGGATGCAAGAGAAGTGGATCATTCATCCAATACTAGGGGATCGCGAAATGGCAGAGGCAGTCTGATGAGCATTATGGCAGGGCCTTTAAAAACTAAATAAATGCGTAACTACTATATGACACTTTTCTCTTGGCTTTTCTTCCAGACAACCAGAACCTTGTATTTATACAAACAACAAACACATGAACATTTGTATGCATAAATTACAGCAAACTGAAGCCCAGATCATCTTCGGTGACTGAAGGACAGACAGGAATATGGTGATGCATTAGCTATGACTAGGAAGAAAAGAAAAGGAACAAACTAGAGATGCCCACAACAACTAGGTAACGCTGGAATGTTGTAATGAGTGAAAAAAGGCAATTTCTGTAGAAACCTTGTGGTGATATTTTGTTGTACTCTAATAAAACTTGCCTGAAGATCAGAGGTCAGAGCCAGTCACAGAGTTAAACATAGAGGCCAGGCAGTGATGGCACACACCTTTAATCCGAGCACTTAGGAGGCAGATATCCTTCTGGATCTCTGTGAGTTCAAGGCCACACTGGGCTACATGAGACAGATCCAGTCTTGGTGAGAAACAGAGCCAGGCAGTGGTGGCACACATCTTTAATCCCAGTATTTGGGAATCACACATGCCATTAATCCCAGCACTAGGAAAGTTGAGACAGGAAGTGAAATGGCTGGGCGGAGAAAGAGATATAAGGCGTGAGGAGACAGGAATGAGAGCCTTTATGCTGAGGACTCGGGCATTCAGTCTGAGGATTTGTGGAGATAGGATCTCGCCTTCCATTCTGCCCAAGGATTCGGTGGCCTTGAGAAGTTCTCTAGTGGCTTGTTCCTTTGTCTCTCTGATCTTTCATCATTGACCACCATATCTGGCTCCGGGTTTTTATTATAAGACCAATTAGGATTCGTGCAACAAAACACTGTAGATTGCACATATAAAAATGATGGCATTCTCAAACTGTCAATGCTGTAGAAATGGAGACCAGCCTGAGGTTCACCAGGCAGGAAAGGCGGGAAGAAGGTGTGTTCCCCCATGATCTAAAAGTTCTGCATCTTACCAGTATCCATATCAATATTCTAGCTGTGACATTTTAATACACTTTTTTTTTTTTTTTTTTTTGAGACAGGGTTT